ACACCAAGGGCAAGGTCCATGAAAGAGATAATTGATAAGCTGGACTTCACTAAAATTAAAAATGTCTGCTCTCAAAGGTTCTGTCAATAGAATGGAAAAGACAAGGCACAGATTGGGAGCAAATATGTGCAGAAAGACTTATAAAAGAATGACATCTAAGATACACAACGAATTCTTAAAACCTCCACAGCCAAAAAAAAAAGAACAATCCAGTTGAAAAATGAGAAAAATATCTCAAAAGACACCTCACCAAAGAAGACAGAAAGGTGGCAAATAAGTATAAGGAAGGATGTTCAACATCAAATGTCATTCGGAAATGTAAATTCAAACATTAATAAGGTGCCACTCCACACTTATTAGAGTGGTCAAAACCCAAAACACTGACACCACCAAATATTGATGATGATGTGGAACAACAGGAACTCTCATTCATTGCTGGTGGGAATGTAAAACGGTTCAGTCATTTTAGAAGACAGCTGGTAGTTTCTTAAAAAACTGAATATTTATCCCACCATATGATCCAGTTATGTTCCTTGGTATTTATCAAAAGAAGTAAAAACTTCTGTCCACACAAAAACTTGCACGCATATGTTTACAGCAGCTTTATTAATATAAAAGCAACCAAGATGTCCTTGCACAGGTGAATGATTAAAAAAATCATGGTACATATAGACAATGGGTATTCAGCACTAATAAAAGATATATCAAGCCATGCAAATGCATCGAAGAAACTTAAATGCATTTTACTAAGAGAAAGCAGCCAATCTGAAAAGGTCACAACTATACGACATTCTGAAAAAGCCAAAACTATGGAGATAGATAAAAAATCAGTAGCTGCCAAGAAAAAAGAGGGAGGTAGAAACAAACAGCTGGGACACAGAGAATTTTTAGTGCAGTGAAAATATTCTGTATGATGATATTACAATGGTGAATACAGGTCACTGATACATTTCTCCAAACCCACAGATTGCATGACACCAAGAGTAAACCCTAATGTAAACTATGAACTTTGGGTGATAATGACATGTCAGTGTAGGTTCACCAACTGTAACAGATGGATCTCATGGTATGGGATGCTGATAGTGGGGAGGCTGTGTGTTTAGAGGTTGTGGGAGGAAAGATATGGAAACTCTCTGTACTTTCCACTCAATTTTCTGTAAACTTAAAACTGCTCTAAACAATCAAGTCAATTTTTTAACAACATAAATAATTCTGGAAAAAAGTTGGAAATAGGGACATCCACTCTAAAATGTAGAGCATGTAAGAAAGTTTTACTCTTACAAAATCCTAAAGCTGAATTATAAAGAGATTATATGGATAATGCTCTATTTATTTTTAGAAGTACAATTATAATGAATGTTTCTATATATGATTAAAAAACTTTCTAGCCCCAGCAGAAAAATTAATTACAGTAGTAGCACAACAAAAACAGGGCAACTAAACTATGAGGATGAGACGGTTATCATCTGATTAGGTCCATATTTATATATATTTAAAGATCCTGCATATTTCAACAATGAGAGAGTTGCATCAGTTATAATACCTGCCAATTTCTGCATGCTAGGAAGACTTTAGGCTAAATATTGGGGTAATTTATTTCTAGGTTTGAAAAATTGTTAGGTGAAGAAGCCTTCAAAGTTGCTGGGTTAAAATAAGTGGATTGCTGCTAAGTTACTCACCTTTGGTGAAATACCTAAACAGTGGCTACTTAGCTCTCAAAACTACTTTTGAATACAGTAAGAAGCTGAATACTTTACCAGAATCTACATTGGATGCCAAGCAGACACAAGGATTATATTGACTATTTTGGAGATAGTGAATCACTGTGAATTGTGAGCCTGTTACGGCAAAAACTAAACTCCTGGAATTCTGAAGTCCTGAAAGTTCATGCCCCTCCATTTTGGCTATTTAAGAGACAAAATGAAAGTGTTTACAAGAACCAGACTGAATTACATAAAATTGCATGTAAAAATAATCAGATTTTCAGCCAGAAAATGAGCTGTTGCTGCAAAACCCATCAGAAATAATCCTTCTTCAGAGTCTCAAGATAGGCAGGCATGTCAAAGGACTCACAGCCAATTGAGATAGCAAGTCTATGCCTGGTGAGAAATAGATATAAGTTTAAAAAATAAATGACTATGTTACTTAAAACTATTAATGTTCAAAAAAAACTAAATGTCTAAAAGGCTGTTGTGGTTAAGTAAGAGAAATGTATAGTCTGCACAAGGCATAAAACTGTATTTGTAACAATAGAGTGCATTCAACCTTTATTGCTAATACACAGAGACATTATATTTTCAGCACAGGAATCAAATCACATTTGTAGTAATAAATGTCTCTTCTCCTGGTCTCAGAGTAAACCTGAGTAGTATACTTGTCATTCTTTTTTCACTCCTTTCAAACTTACTTATTTGCTTAAAACCTAAATTTAGGTGGCTGGGTTGAAATTTAAATTTTTCTTAAGTAAAACCTTTTCACATATAAACATTTTGTAAATATAAATTAAAGTTTTCCAAAGGAGTAAAAAAAATCATTGCTACTTTAAAATTCAATCAGCATCAAAGTCCAGATCCTTCTATCCATAGAGTAATTTGTTTAGAACTTAAAGTAATAAAGAAAAAAAAGGGAGCCTTGTAAAATGTAAAATGATTATAATCGCTAAGCAGAAAAAAATTTAAACATATTTAAGTTTAATAAAAATTATCATTTTATGTGGCAATCATATTCTTTTCAGAGTAAAAACGTGTCATAACCATAGATCAATGGAATGGAATAAAGAACTCAGAAATAAGGCCATGTGTCTACAACTATCTGATCTTCAGCAAACCTGACAAAAACAAGCAATGGGGAAAGGATTCCCTACTTAATAAATGATGCTGAGTGAACTGGCTAGCCATATGCAGAAAATTGAAACTGGACCCACCGCCACCCCCACTTTCTTATATCATATACAAAAATTACCTCAAGATGGATTAAAGACTTAAATGTAAAACCCAAACTATAAAAACCCTGGAAGACAACCTAGGCAATACCATTCAGGACATAGGCATGGGCAAAGATTTCATGATGAAGACACCAAAAGCAACTGCAACACAGCAAAAATTGACAAATGGGATCTAATTAAACTAAAGAGCATAGAAAAAGATACTATCAACAGAGTGAGCAGATAACTTACTGAATGAAAGAAAATTTTTGCAATCTATGCATCTGACAAAAGTCTAATATCTACCATCTCTAGGGAACTTAAACAAATTTACAAGAAAAAACAAACAACCCCATTAAAAAGTAGGCAAAGGATACAAACAGACAATTTTCAAAAGAAGACATACATGTGGCCAACATATATATGAAAAAAAGTTCAACATCACTGATCATTAGAGAAATGCAAATCAAAACCACAAAGAGATACCACCTCGCACTAGAGTGGCCATTATTAAAAAGTCAAAAAATAACAGATGCTGGTGACGGTTGAGGAGAAAAAGGAACGCTTAGACACTGTTGGTGGGAGTGTAAATTAGTTCAACCATTATGGAAGACAGTGTGGTGATTCTGCCTCAAAGACCTAGAGGCAGAAATACTATTCAATCCAGCAATCCCATTACTGGGTATATACCCAAAGGAATATAAATCATTCTATTATAAGGACACCTGCAGCCAGGCACGGTAGCTCACGTCTGTAATCCCAGCACTTTGGGAGGCTAAAGCACGCAGATCATGAGATCAGGAGTTCGAGACCAGCCTGGCCAATACGATGAAACCCAGCCTCTACTAAAAATACAAAAATTAGCTGGGCATGGTGGCACGCACCTGTAATCCCAGCAACTCGAAAGGCTGAAGCAGAAGAACTGCTTGAATCCGGGAGGCAGAGTTGCAGTGAATCAAGATCGCGCCACTGCACTCCAGCCTGGGTGACAGAGCAAGACTCCATCTCAAAAAATAAAAACAATAATAAAAGAAACACCTGCACATGTGTGTTCAACACTATTCACAATAGCAAAAACAATGAATAACCTAAATGCCCATCAATGGTAGACTAGATAAAGAAAATGTGGTACCTGTACACTGTGGAATACTATGTAGCCATAAAAATGATATCATTCCTTTACAGAGACATGGATGGAGCTGGATGCCATTAGTCTTAGCAAACTAATGCAGGAACAGAAAACCAAATACTGCATGTTCTCACTTATAAGTGGGAGCTCAACGATGAAAATACATGGGCACATAGAGAACAACACACATTGGTGTTTATCAGAGGGTGGAAGGTGGGAAGAGGAAAAGGATCAGGAAAAATAACTAATGCGTGCTAGGCTTAATACCTGGGTTATGAAATATCTGTATACTGAATCCTCATGACACAAGTTTACCTATATAACAAGCCTGCACATGTACTCCTGAACTTAAAAGTTAAATATATACAAAAACATGTCATACGTACTATAATCTTCCACATCGTTTCACTAAAAAAGTTATCTATACGTCATAGTATTGAGAATTCAATAAAACTTTATTTGAAACTAACCTGAAATATTATAACAATTTTTCACCCAATTTTTTAAAAGTTGAAGTTTATCTTTTACTCCTGCTCTGAACTTATTTTAAAATACAACATTTTGAAAATACTTTGTTCTATATTTTATACAGCATATCCTAGTGAAATTTTTATGCTAGGAACATATTTAAAGCTACAGTTCCCATTGTGAAATATGTGTCTTTGAAATACAAAAGAGGAACTATGTAGATAGTCTAAGAGTAAAGAAAATAACAAAAGTGCTTACAAGAACGCCTATATTTAAATAAAGTGTATGTTTAGTCATTGAAAATTGCTTTGGGGACAAAATATATGCTATTTGTTTATATAAAAACATTTTCCAATAAACAATGATATACTACTTCCCTATGAAGAGTGACAGAAACTTTTGAATGAGCAAACATATTTTGGAAAACATGCATTTGAATAAACCCTTATTTTGGAGTGATAAAGAAAAAAAATTATATACCTTGTTGTTTTGACAGGCAGCACATTTCCAGTCTTCGTTCATGAGAATATCCATAGAGCAGACATGCTTCTTGTAGTGCGCTTTTATACCATTTCTTTTTCTTCTTACATTTTTCTGGCTATATAAATATAAAAAAAGAATAAAATTTGTTTTAAATATATGACTTTGTTTTAAAATTCACCTAACTATTAAGCTGAAACTAAATCTGATTTGGAGCATTGTATGGTATATTTCTTAGACTTTGATATCTAATTATTATTTTAGAATTCAGCAAAATTATGAAAATTTTGCAAATTAATAGTCGAAAGGGTCAGATGCTTGGTTCACTAAGATAATAGTGATAATATTATTCATCTCACATTTAGAAAGTTACAAAAAGGCCCTCAATGTAACAAAGTAGTTAATATTAATACATTTAATGAGAATAATGTTGATTTCCTTTTAAACGACATAGCAATTACACTAAAGTGGTACAAATTGAAAAGCAAGTTTCTTATCAGAAGAAAATTAATTTGGCAGTGTGTGGGGGCTCATGCCTGTAATCCCAGTTACTAGGGAGGCTGAGGAAGGAGAATCGCTTGAACCTGGGAGGCAGATGTTGTAGTGAGCCAAGATCACACCACTGCACTCCAGTCTGGGTGACAGAGTAAGACTCTGTGTCAAAAAAATTTTTTATTCACGTCTAGTTTTAATGTTACAGCAGATATTAACATACGCATACAAGTTTCTTAAATTTCCCGTGCCTGGCCGGGCGCGGTGGCTCAAGCCTGTAATCCCAGCACTTTGGGAGGCCGAGGCGGGTGGATCAAGAGGTCATGAGATCGAGACCATCCTGGTCAAAATGGTGAAACCCCGTCTCTACTAAAGATACAAAAAATTAGCTGGGTATGGTGGCGCGTGCCTATAATCCCAGCTACTTGGGAGGCTGAGGCAGGAGAATTGCCTGAACCCAGGAGGCGGAGGCTGCAGTGAGCCGAGATCGCGCCATTGCACTCCAGCCTGGGTAACAAGAGCGAAACTCCGTCTCTAAAAAAAAAAAAAAAAAAAATTCCCGTGCCTTAGTTTCTTTAAGAAATGTGAATAACACTACATACATAAGGTTTCATGAGTATGAAATAATATGGTTTTATGGCATAATAAGAACTCAGTAAGTTATTTTACTTGGATACAGCACATTTTCTAAATATGCATTTGGTTTTCAAAGAATATATTTTAAAAAGAAAAACAAAATTTTAAAAATCTGGGTCAAAAATAAACATTAAATTGACCTAGTCCAATAATCTTTTCAGTGTTATTTTAAAACTTGCCAGAAATGATTTTTATAATGTTTTCAAATGTTACATTTATAAAATTCATGCCATCATTTTCATTTTTAATATTTACCAGCAAAAGGAATATGGCTATTTACTTTATTAACCTGTAATTAACACCTATCTATAAAGATTATATCTTTCTCACAGATGTGTAAGATAATTCACCCTTTACACAGAAGTATAAATCTATATAAGACCCATATTGAAGTAATTCAGAGAATGAAACTATATATTTAAAGCTATTCTCAATGTCACCACATTCTTAGAGTTCCCCAAATTAATATCAACTATGTGCTCCCACTACACATAATACTTTCATTTACTGATTTACTACTTGATGATTTCTATTACAGTTATTTGTGTTCATGACATCACCAACCATAAAACGAAAGGTGCGTGAAGATGGAGGCAATAAGCAATATGTCATTTTTGCATCCTCCACAGTACTCATCTGCCTACACCTCATGGTATATTATGTCAAGTATTCAGAAAGAAACAGTTAAATTGCATTTGGCCCTGGGCACTGATCAACTTGACATAAAAGCAGTAAAACAATAGGATCAAATAAAAATCTACTTTTGGACACACAATCTACGAATTTCATTCATGAAGTAAGGTTTTTCATAGGAAACATGAAAAGATAGGCAGATATAATTCACTAAATATTGGAAATTTTAAATTATTTTAAGGATGTCTAAGCTAGCCTTCACAGATTTAAGACATTTCTGCAAGTCAAATGTTATAATCTGAAATTAGAAATTATAGTGAAAAATCCCTTTAAAGCTTGTAGCATTAAATAGTTTCTATATTGTTCTGTATATAGGAATAGTGTAGAAACAGTTTCTATAATATTCCCTATAGCAGGGGTCAGACAATTGCTCATCTATGGCCCATTAGGAACTGGGTGGCACAGCAAGAAGTGAGTGGGAGACAAACAAGCATTACTGCCTGAGCTCCACCTCCTGTCAGGTCAGCTGTGGCATTAGATTCTCATAGGAGCATAAACCCTATTGTGAACTACACATGTGAGAGATCTAGGTTGTGTGCTCCTTATGAGAATCTAATTCCCGATGATCTGTCACTGTCTACCATCACCACCAGATGGGACCCTCTAGTTGCCGGAAAACAAGCTCAGGGCTCTCACTGATTCTACATTACGGTGAGTTATATAATTATTCGTTATATAGTACAATGTAATAATAATAGAAATAAAGTGCACAATAAATGTAATGTGCTTGAATCATCCTAAAACCATCCCCCTCCCTCCCCTCAGTCCATGGAAAAAATGTCTTCCATGAAACCAGTCCCTGGTGCCAAAAAGGTTGGGGACTGCTGCCCTATAGAAATAGTATGGAAAAATAGTTTTAAAATTTTTTTGAGAAAAATCAGTGTCATATAGCTAAAATAAACTTTGACAACTCAGGGGAACTGAAAAGGTTTGTTTGAAAACTTTTGTCTGGGAGTCTTGGAACTTATCAGTAGGCATGTGCCATCTAGTGGTAATACAAATTAAAACCTTCTAAGGAACTCAAAAGCTAAGGTTCTATTTTACGAAGAATTTTGATTTCCAAATTAGGCTCAACTGTGCTTTGTATTTTTAAATTACTGTTTTTTAAATTGAAGACATGATAAGGTGCAAATTCTCACAGTATAGAATGTGCCTTCCTTCCCATCCCAGGTACTATTTCCCCCAAAGGCAACTATTATTAGTTTCTTTTACAGTCTTCCAGAGATATGTATTTATATAATCATATAATTTATATATTATGACATTAAATATTTCTATAACATATAAATATATAATGATGTGATAAATAGTTATGTTTTTTAATTTTCTTGCAGATTGCTGCATTTATTGATTGATTCAGCATATTTTAGACTCTCAGGATCTATCACTGAAGAAAACAGACAAGGCTTACATTTAGCCTATGAGAACAGACAACTATAACAAGCATAAAAACAAGGCTATATATATTATAGGAAGTGATAAGTGCTTTGTAATAAAAATAATAAAAGGTAAGGCAAAGTCAGGGTTATCATGAGTGCTGAGGGGTGGGTAATGAGTGGTCAAGGTAACTGTCTCATCGAAAAGGTGATATTTAAGGCCATGATCTCCCTGAAGGAGGCCAGGAAGTTAGCCATATGTATATCCAAGGAAAGCGTACTCCAGGCAGAGAAAAAAATCCTCTAATGTGGGAGAGCACATGTGTATTCAAGAAGCATCAAAGAATCCAGGGTAGCTGAGTCTGAATGATGAAGACAGAGAGTAATATAAAATGATTTCAGAAAATTAACAAGGGCCACATCATCAAGGCCTTTGCAAGCCATTGTAGGGTCTTTGGCTATTACTTTGAGTGAAATAGGTACTGGTGCAGAGTTCTGAGCATAAAAGAGATATTTGATTTGAATTAATGTTTTAAAATAAATCATTCTGATTGTTTTCATGAGGAAAGGCTATACAGAGGCAAGTACAGAAGCAGGACGATGAGTTAGAGGCTACTGCAATAATTTATGCAAGAAATGCTGGCAATGTGGACCAGGGCAGTAACAGTTACTGTGGTGAAAAGTGTTAGGATTCTGAACATAATCTGATGATAGAGCAAAAAGCATTTCCTGACCACCTGAAAATTGGCTTTGGGAGAAATGGAGGATTACTATAGGACTTTCAAACTGAGTGGGCAAAAGGATGGAATTTTCTATCTACTGAGATCAAGCGCAGGCTGTCAAGAAGGAAAGATTTGGAGAAAGATCAAGAGTTTGGACATGCTGATATGGGACTTCTCAATACCCAAGAGGAAGATAATTATGATATCGAGGTGGAGATGTTGAGTAGCAGTTGGATACAAAAATTCAGGACAGAAAACTTACCTGCAGGTAAGATTTAGGAATTACAAACACATACACATACACAAATGCGCGTGTGCACACACACACACACACAGTATTTATTGATTCAACATATTCTAGACTCTCAGGATCTATCATTGAAGAAAACAGACAAAGCTTACATTCTAGCCTATGAATAGAGAAATCTATAAAAACCATAAAAAATTAGGCTATAGTATAGTAGGTGATATGGATGAGAGAACTAAAGGAATGAGAAAATAGATGTTTGTATGTCCACATAGGTAGTATGTACGTACCCCTATTTATTTGACAATGCCCAAGTGAACAATTGGATTGTTTCTAATACATTATTGGAAACAATGCTGAAAAAAAAAAAAAGGTTTGTCGATATGTCATGTTTCCCATGTGAGAGTATACTAAAAGATAAATCCCGAGACATAAGATTACACGTTTAATGTATGTATATTTTAAATTCTGGAAGCTATTGCAAAATCACTTTTGAATGAGGAGTTCAAAGTTTACAATGCCACAAGCAATATATTCAGTATATTTCCCCACACCTTGCAGAACACTTCTGTTCCTAGCTTTTACATCTTTGCCAATCTTTATAAATTTTTAATTTTTGTAGGTACATAGTAGGTGTATATATTAATGGGTTACATAAGATATTTTGATACAGGCATGTAATATGTAATAATCACATCAGGGTAAATGGGATATGTAACACCTCTAGCATTTATCTTTTGTGTTACAAGCAATCCAATTATACTCTTTAGTTATGTTTAAATGTAAAATTAAATAATTTTTAACTATAGTCACCTTTTGTAATAGAAAATACTAGGTGTTATTCATTCTTACTATTTTTTGTACTCATTAACCATCTCCACTTTCAGCTGACACTCCACTACCCTTCCCAGCCCCTGGTAATCACCTTGTACTCTTGATATCCATGAGTTCA